TAGTGTTTGGTTGGGATGAAAACCTGACGCCTGTAAGCTCTGCGTGGCACATGACTGAAAGCCACTAGACTTGAAGTGATGCTACGGTCCTGCTGCGCTGGACGCTGCTGCCGCCCTGTGGCCACCCGCCTGAACCGCAACCCTGCTTCTATAATGACCGTTAGATTTTTAGAGGAGTTGCATCACGACCCCCCCTCACACACACACAACACCATCACCACCACCTCCACCACTACCTCCCTTCTCCATCCACCCTCCACCACCACCAGAACCCCTCCTCCCTGGGTTGGATAAATATTGCTGGAAGATATATAACGTGTTGCTATGGTGATCAGCTTGTGGGTTTTTTTTTTTTTCATGGCATTTGTGGAAGACAGGGACATGCTGGTGCGCAGGGAGCTCTGAAGATCTGGTGTATGTGTGTGCAAGCATGTTTATGTTTGAGAGAAAAGGAGGGAGGGGAGGGGAAGGGGAAGGGGGGTGCTCCTTTTGAAGAGGTGGAACATTCACAAAAACATAGCAGACCCAAAAATAGGAGACAATCTCTCAGACCTTGTGTTTTCATGCACGCCACGCGCTGCTCACCCACCGTAGCCTATGTGCACAAAACTAAGAGCCCTGACTAGCAGCCGTCTCTGGGGAGTGTTTAACCTCTCTTCCTCCTCTTCTCCTCCTTCCATGTCTCCTCCACCACCTCTCCATCTCCCTGCTCTCCGGCTGCTCTATCTCTCTGGGGACACATTCTCAGTCTGCCTGATTGGCTTCTGTTTATGTGCATGTGCTAATGTGTTAATGTGTTTGTGTGTATGTGAGTGCATAAGCATGCTGTCCTCTATCAATTAGTGCAACCTGGTGCAGCAATTACCAGTACCCATTGTGCTTATGCTGTGTACGTCGGCGCACATCCGCACATGCACACGAGGGATAACTAGTGCATCATTGATCGCCAGCTGTCTGCCATTGAAGATTCCCTAATGGTCAAGCCCACACATGCACACAATTGCTATGACAGAACGGACGTTTGTATGTGTGTGTCTGTAGTGGTTCACAAAACACACCACCAACTCTCTCTTTCAGACCAGACGGCATCCTAGGAGACACCTATATGTGTGTGTTTATGAGTGTGTGTGTATGTGTGTGAGCTGATACCAGCGCAGCCCAGATGGCCATCTTCGAGGGGTTTTCTGGAACATTCAGACACTTGTTGCTTCTCGTCATGTCTCTTTCTCTCCCTCTCTCTCCCTCACACACGCACAGTGCTTCTTTTGAAGTGTGAAACAGCTTGCGGTCAGCTCTGCTCCTCTTCTATGGTTCCATCAAATAGCAGCCTTTAGAGCCTTCAGATACATGATGAAACAAAAACAACCGTGCAGTGTTAGCAGAGGAAAGAAATAACAGATATTCTCGCTGGATGTGGTGGATAAACAATGCAGTTCTGTATCTTCCTCTGTGGTGATGGACTGGTAGAGTCAGGAGATCAAACAGTGGCATTCACTTTGGGGAACCCAAAAAGTTCACCCCAAAGTACAGTCAGCCTGGTAGCTTTCCTCTAACACATCAAAGGCTGTGGCACCTCCTTTACGACTGTCTTTAGGTGTGGTGGTTCTTTGGCGGTGATTTAGTGAAGATAGACAGCGGAGCTTAGTGAGAGCTGCTGTGTGTGTGCTGGCACTGAGGTCAAACCGGCTGTCAGATCAGAGAGAGACATGGAACCAAATACCTGACTTCTGCTATACAAGGGGAAACAAGATTTTTGGCTTATTTTAGGGACTGTAAGAAAGTTAATTGGGCGCGAGGAGGGGTCAGAAAAGGGAATGGGTATTGTAATTTTTCTTTTGGCTGAAGGGAGTCTCAATTTCTGCAGAGAGCAGGATAGGGTCCTAATTTCTATACCCCGTGCTCGGTTCAATTTTCAGCCCAATTTTCAATTTCACTGCTTCTGTGCACATCAGTGGCTGTATTATCATTCCATTAAGATATTGAGGTTAAACGTTTAGTATAACATTTTAAATTCTTTAATGCCGTGCCTCTTTAAGTAAATAATGATTAAACAAGTACATAGTCATATTATTGACATATTGAGGAGACCCTTGTTCCTTGTTCAGCACCCCTCCACACCCCAATGATATTCATACATACTCAGTTATAAATAAAGAATTGCTTTCCATCAAAGACCATTAAACTAGAAGATGGCTTATATGTCTACCAAGTCTGCGTACTGCTCTTGTTTTTAAGATGACAGACTGAGATCCAGATCAGCATCAACGATTCCTAACTCAAAGGATGAATCAAGCAAGTCAGACTCATGACTGCTAAATAATGGCTTGTGAAAATGCCAGTTTTGCTTTGAACAGAGATGTGCATGCATCATCTGAACAAATATTTTTTTCAAAATGATCCTGCTTGCTTTATGCAGCAAATCTGATAAAGATTGGATAAAATTTGTAGGAGTGGTAAAAAAAAAAAAAAAGTGTGAAAATATGTGTGTAGGTGGAAATGGTTGTGGCCTATTTGGACACATTTTTGCTTCAAGGCCTTATGGTTAGATGGTTTTGGTGCTAAACTTAATGAAACATAAAAATAAAATATAAGTCCCTTCTGGGCTCATTATCTTGATTACAAGCAAATTATATTTACATTATATGTCAGTTATGAACTTTTTGACATATCCTTCTAACTAACGATGCATAAACAGGACTTTTTAAGTGTTAAAAGATGCCGCTGCCTAGGTGAAGTACATAACTACCTCTAATTACTCATCATTGTGACACAACTGCACACTAATGCACTGAGTCACCTGAAATGCTGCAATTTGAATAATTTGTCATCATGATTTGTTGCAAACAGTTCTATTTCACCCTGTGATATTTTGTTTCATAATTTTGATTTGAACTTAATATGCCTCCCTGTGTGTAAATAATGCTTACAATTATCTATTTGGAAGCATAACTCTAGATAGATAGAAAAACTCCATAGTTAATTGTTTTTAATGGAACAGTACAGTTTGTTTGTCTATTCAATATTTTGCTATCCATCACTTAACGTTGCATTTCAGGTTCCTGTCAAGCACAAGCTCCTTTTTGAAAAGTAAAAAGAGAAAGCAGAAATAAGTAGTCTATGTCGCCCCCATGTGTTGGCAAAGTTGAACTGTGCCGTGATCTCAAAATGTGTTTGTTGACAACCTGTTTTACAGAACTCTGCTATACAGTTACAATAACAAACACATATACAGCCACTACAGCCTTTCAGCACATCCTCTATTCTTCTGTCCTTGGTAAATCTGAATATCAAGCTCTTTAAAAAATGAGATGAATGATTAAGTACCTGATGAGGAACATGGCATTTGTTAACTGAGCAGCACTGTAATTGATAATACCTAAAAATCTCAGGTTTTTCCACTTCATTGCACTCTTCATCACTTTGAGAGTAAGTATTATCCTGTACTGAAATAAGACCATGTCAAGCCGGTGATGCAAAAAGTCAGTAAAACATCAAATCCAATCGGGATAAAACACAAAGACAACGCAGATAAACGCTTGTATTTTCTTTAATGTCAGAATTGTACATGGACATCCCGATGGATTTGCACTTCTTTTTACAATATGTACCACATATAACAGCACCTACAAGTTATTTACACACATTACACAAGATTGTATCACAAAGCAGTGTGTGAAATTAGCAAAACAAGTGTCCCAAGCCTTGCCGAACCATTGCACCCAATAGTCCATGAAGTGGCTGGACAAAGTAAAATATCCCAGCCCCCCTACTAGTTCACAGACAATGCCCCCATGTAATTATCGGGGGTTAAAGCTGAAATCTTAAGTGTGACAATGCTGTAACTCTTAGAGATAAAATGATGACAGTGCACCACTTCAAGTTCTTATAAATGGGCCTGATGTAAACATAAAGTAGGTAAAATGCAAGCTTTGAAACACTGTTACTGCAAGTACTCAGTCAACTGTATTTCGATGCTGAAAGGGAAACAGTGTATATTTGGATTATTCGTAAACACTACAATACCTATGGGTAATAGTGTGATTAGAAAATTGCAAATGACGCCAAACAAGGGTACTTCAGCAAAGAAATCTTTGTTGAAAACATATCTTGCTTTTCCATCTCTCGTCACCCCCACTACTCAAAGTGTCAGCTAACTCAGACAGTAATGATAGTCACCATTATCTGCGTACACTGACTGACCTGCTTTGTGATAAAACCCTGCTATAGGCTGCGAAGAGCAACTAATGAAAAAAAATAGGATGAATTTAAGTAAAACGGAAAAAAAGTCGTTCAAGTGGGTGCTAGATTTGCCAGAACCCTGCATCCACATCTACACACACACAAACTCGCTCTCTCTCTTACACACACACACACTCTCTTCTCTCCTCTCTCTTCTCCTCTCCTCTCTCCTCTCCACACACACACACAGAAGTTGCACAACAACCAGAGATAACTGTAGCAGCTTTCTTCAAAGGCAAAGACAAGTACAACCAGTAAGTGGCAGTTCTGGCTGTCAGAATACGCAAACACCACAGAGCAGGCAGCAGAAATGACGAATACACACACTGACGAGCCGTCTTGAGTGAGCCACCACAACCGGGGGGTGGGTGGGTGGTGGGGTGGGGGGGGTGGGAAGGTTGATCAGCCTCCGAAGGAGCCCCGGTTTCAGTCCAGTCTGGTTTGGCCAGCACTCCACAGAGTAGGAGGAGGAAGTATGTGTGAGAATGAGGGGAAGAGAACTGCAAACAGTAAGCAACAGCCCGATTCATCTGATTATCAGATGTGAAGCACAGCCGAATAAATGCCTAAAACGCAACATTCTGCAATTTAAGGATTCGTGTGTGTGACGAATGTGACATGTGCTCGCTTAGGCATCAGATCTACGGAGGGCAAACAGAAACAGAAAAGAACATTTTCCGAAGAACAGAACACTACTACAAAGAGGGTGCGTGAGACAACAAAGGGGGTATATGAAGGAAAAATAAAAGGGGAGAAATATGTGGGGTTGGTAATAGCTGGGTTCCTTTATTTATAGCATTGCAACTAAGATGAAAAGAAGGAAGATTTCAATGGTTGGCCAAGGCATCAGTCCTCATCAGCTGTCCAGTCGGCCACCAAGGAGAGGACAGAAGAGGGATTAGTGGCGTAGGAAAAGTTCAGAGCATCCTGTTACGTTTATGAGTTGGTGAGTCTGTGATGACATCACTACAGGGGGCAGGGCCACGTTTACGATTGGCTGTGGAATCCAAATGGAGCGCCATCTCCTCGGCGATGAAGGTGTTGAGGTCCACGTCATGGAGACCGTTCCTACGACGACTGAGGGACTGAGCGGGGTGAGTTGGGGAACCAGGAGGACCGGAACGCACAGAAATGCTTGCCATGGCACCACTAAGACCTGGAAGGAAGAAAGGGAAATATGAAGCGACTGCAAACTGCACGAACTCTAGCGTCTCACTCTCGCAACACAACAGTTTGACCTACCATGCAGTGCAATGGCCTCTCTGAAAGGCTGCAGGTCGGTCTCCACAGAGCTGCCCGTCTCCGGGGGTGATGGCCGGCTTGCAGACACCATGGCAACTCTGGGCGGGGCACGAGCTGTCCGTGGAGGTGGGACTTTGCCGCACAGGAAGCTGATAAGGTCTTCGCGTCTGATGGTTCTTCTGCGCTTCTTAACCCACGCGATCACATCCTTATTCCTGCGCTGGTAGCCTAAATGGATGCCCAGGTCATAGCTCCGTTGGCGGGCCTCGATGCTCTCTGATGACACAAAGGGACGAGCGTTGTTTAGTAAATCCGGACGACCAAAACATACAGTGAAGCACCAGATGGGTAACAGTCAAAATCACTTATTACTTACCTTTGTACAAGTTAGTGACAGCTGTGGCTGCGTTCTGGAAGGGCACCCAGAGAGAGAGGCCCTGCTGCTGACATACTCGATCTGTAAATTAAATTTTTTTAAAAAGTTGGTCAGATTGTGGTTATAACTTCTTTTTTAAAATGTCACTGATGCTGCATTAAGCCCACACTACCCTCCTCAAGCTTAAATGTCTTCTTAACAGTTGAAAAACCACCGCAAGGCTCTGTGCGAAGACTAAGACCAAAAACTCTCGTTATAGTTTGCCTTAACTGCAAAAATACGAGCAGCGAAGGCTCCGGGCCTGTGCAATATCTCTACCACCAATCATCCGCTCGCAAGTTCAATTAGACTGCAAATCCTTGCATCTAAGCTGCAGGGGCTGTCCATACGGTTTCCTCTACGAATGACTCACTGGTGTTACATTTTATGAAGATGCAGCTGTGTTACAGCCTGAACGAACAGTGTTTTGGGGGCTTTGTGAGCGGGGTTTCTCAACCAAGAGAGGGATAATGACTGCACTTGACAAGCAGCTGCAAAATAAGGCTTGTTTTTAGTGTGAAAATTACATTCTTAGCCAGTGTTTTTACCCCCCAGGAAGCAACTTAGTGGTAACATCTAAGCAACCATGATGTCACCATTTAAAACAGACATTTTAAAATGGGGCCCACATGCATTTCCCGTTTCAGTGTGCGCTAATAGCAGAAGCTGACAACTAATGTCCAAGCAGATGTTCAAGTGTAATGTCCAGAACACACAGCAGAGCAGGACGACACTAAAACAAGAACAGTTTTACTTTCTTTTTTTTTTTTT